CCTGTGATTTGTACACTGTATTTCGGAAATGAAAGAGTGAAGAACTCAGACTTCATTATGCCCCTATTACTACGGTTGCAAGTGATATATGGTTCCCATATCAATATAAGACTCATCTCTAACCGCTTTCAGTAACATTGTGCTTGTAATGCTAATGTACGGCTTTATTACATCAAATGTAATCATTTTCCCCTTCTAGTTTGAAGAGGATTTATAATGTCCAGAAATACATTCACACACCACTTGTACTTCCAAGCAGTAAGGGCAGTGAACCACACTTATTGTATGAGGGCTAATGATACTGCTTACTTGCTAAGACCTCGGTAGGTGAAGCGGGAATCAAACTTATGATCCGTCAGTTTAAAGTTGACGTCTAGACCAATCAGCCACAGCTAAATATTGAGATAATTCATAATTCCGAGTAAATATGAAGACAATTAAACTTGTATTAAGAGACTATATTCTATGAATCTTAATACCCACATATATTCAGGCATCAAAGTTGTGAAGATAGTCTGAAATGACAGTGAACTGTTATCCAGTGATATATTTAACAAATAGATTGATACACGATTGACCGCATCAACTTCAGTTTTAGACCAGAAGACTGTATAAGTCATATTTTGAAGAATTGTAGACATAATTAATTTAAATGGCTTTAAAAAATTGTTGGCACCAAACGTAACTAACTATATTTTACGTTTTACAACCTTATCCGACTCATGAATTGTTTATTCGCAGGTGATAACAATAAAAACAACTTCATCTCTCAAGCATTTGTGATTCATTGATAACATGATCAATATATTTGTTAAATGTTCAACTTAAATGGCGGCTGATTTATCAAAACAAATGTCACTGAATTAATCATAATCCCATTATTGAAGAACGAATTGTATTACTCATGGTGCAAGATGTAAATTTATGTAAAAGAAATCATTTTGAAACCTTTACCTTACTTCCCCGGTAGGTTTAAATTTAAGATGATACTTCAGTGGTCCAAACACCTGTGCTTATAACATGTATGATCCAGCTGGTTAGTTCTGCAGGTAACTAAAACAGCTGGTTCTGAATGATTTGTAGACCGCAGTTTTTCAGTTTCTTAAGTATACTTTCTAAAGTAATAAAGATATAGTGTTTCTAAAGTTATAAAAAAAGAAGTGTCTTATTTAGATAGCTATACTTCAACAACAGACAAAGGTTTACAACTAATCGTCTTAGCATCTGGTTGGTTGGAAACCTGAAGAGAGGAAACAGGGGACTAATTAACCTTGTCAAATAAGAACATTCATCGTTTGGAGGGCAAGGGAAATCATTAGCACTATCTATGAAGACACACCGTCGTTTTAAATTTAATTCCTAGGTGATGGATGTACACTAGACTTGCAGAAACGAACACTAATATAGAGTCCGTCTGACTATATCCCAAAAACGATAGCAGTAATATAAAGCTAAAAACGACTAGAAGTAATACAAATTTAAGGAAACTTTCGACAAGAATTAGAGTACAATCGAACAGATTGAATCGAAATGCACTCAACAACCTTGTCTCTATTCGTGCAGCACACCATGAGCCACACCTATTGTATGGCAACAAGTGTTACAAACTGACTGCCTAAATCTCGTTAAGTGGAGCGAGGTTTAAATCTATGATCCATTGATTGAAAGTTATCTCTCTAAACCAATGAGCCACAACTTAATATAATAGAATAGACTCTTTGACAACTCTGTATTTCCAAAAAACGAAACCACATTCAGACATGAGCAGACTTTGAGACTATACTAAGCTTACTTTAATGGTTATTATGAAGAGAAAATTAACTCTTCGAAGGAATAACTACATAATTCAAGTTATAACGTTATTGTAGTGACTAAAAAGCCTACATCTCAGTGTAACACCCATTAAGCAGTAGACGAATAAATCTTTATCTTCCCACTGACGTTCGAACCCAGTCAAAAAATCGCTCCAAAACATACTGGTTGCAAGAAGTTGCCTGAAGATTTGTTAGTCGATTGAAAATTGGAAACCAGTGACACGTTTCCTTTGTATACAGATAGTTTTTAGGACCCTAAATCCAGCAAATCACTTCTTTCTTCAAATGATTCTGAAACACAGTAGTTCTGAAAACGCTAAACACCATCATCCCTTACAGCCCTACATTGAGTGATAAGAGATGCTGAGAAACAAATGTACGCAATCGATTATCGCCAAATAATTTAGGGCTCTCTAATTATCTACAATTAGTTTATTTCCAACCTCGTCTAGCTAACTAGTTCACTAAATTACTAGCTGGTCCTAAGCCAGGATAAAGAGGGAATGTTAGACATGGAGCTAGCAACCCTACCCAAGAAAACCAATACAATCGCCAAACTTTAAAGCACAAAAAAACTTTTAAAAAATTCCTCACTGGAGTTGGGAAGACGAAATGACGCCGGTTGGTAAAGACTTCGAGAAGCCAACTGGCTGATGTGTCTTCGCTCTCTCGATAGAAGCAAAAGCAAATATGGTAACATGAAATCTTCACACAATATTTGAAGCTGGATGGTATGCCTGCTCAGATTGCAAAAGAGATGAGAAGGTATACCATAAAAGTGCTACGAATCTGCAGATGGAATAGAAGTGGACTCTTCAGATTGCTAACTGGAGAGTCAGTAGTCAGCTATCATGATGTCCCCGAAAGCGTCAAAGGCTCTCTGGCAGTCGGAACCAATCCCCTCTTCCAGGATCATGACAGCAAGATTCAAATCAAAAGGAAAGAAAGTCACAATCATTCAATGCTACTCACCAACAAATAATGCAGATCAAGAGAAGAAGGAGGAATTATACAGACAACTGCAATCAGTATTATACAACACTCCAGCTGGCGACATCAAAATTGTAATGAACGACGTGAATGTCAAACTGGGAGCAGACAACACAGGAGGAGGATTCATCATGAGTCGAGAAGCACTTGGTGAAGTGGTGAACGAGAATGGAGAACTGTTTGCAGATTTCAGCGCATTCAACGATTTGGTGATTGAAGACACTGTCTATAAACACAAGGATATTCACAAGGTGACATGAACTTCCCCAGGTGGATACACTACAAATCAGATCGACTTCATCTCAATTTCAAGAAAGTTGAGACGCAGCCTGCTGGACATAGGATCAAGTACAGGAGTACATGTAGTTTCACACTACTCACTATACAGTGCAAGCAACCTAACTTCAAAATCAAGTTGTCAACCTTCACAGATATACCACAGTTCAACACCCAGAACAGAAACTGAAGGACGAAACTACACCGGACATCTTCAAGTCGTCAGTCATCAGGAAAAAGCGGGAGATATTACACAACATCCCTGGAGAAACCTGCGTGGAAGAACACTGGGACTCTTTGGAAGAGACGTAGAAGGAAACCTGCATAACCGTAGTGCAAGGAACTTTCCAAATCAAGTTGAAAGCCTTCAAGGAAGCTGATGATAGACAGCAGTTCACGTACAACACTCGGAAACTAAAGGATGAAACTACAAAAGAACATCTTCACGGCAGCCATAAAGACAAAATGGGAGACATCGAGGAACATCCCTGAAGGAACCTGTATGGATGAACACTGGAAGCTTTGAAAGAGATGTGGAAAGAAACCTGCACAACCGTATTAGGAAGGAAGATGAAAGAAGATAAGGAATGGATCTCCATGGATACATGGGAGCTGATAGAGCAGGTAGAGGAGTATGGTGAAGCAGAAGATAAACCAGTGCAAGGATGCTCAACGAGAAGAGGAACTGAGTACAATGTATAAAACACTACACTGGCCAAAGAAGTGAAGAAGAATGCACGTAAAGACATAAGACACTTTTACGACACACTGGCAAGTGAGGCAGAAAAGGCTGCAGGTAGAGAGACAGAAACCTGACAACACTGCATCAAATAACTAGGTTACTATCCAAGAGGGAAGAGATCAACGCAAATGACATGCTCACTATCACCACAATGGCAGAAAGTTTGTTAAGGAGTAAGGAAGAAAAGGTACCTGCCTTGTCAAACACCCAAAGAAGGAAGACCTAAGCCTTTGAAACAACCGGTGAGGAATCATGCTTCCATCCACCCCAAGCAAGCTAAATATTAAGCCGCATCATTCTGAAGAGACTAAAAATGGCAGCGAACTAACCAACCAACAACCTGTCACCCAACAAATATGCAGACGAAGAAAGTGGAGATGGATTTGATTCGACATAGACCGAGAAGACGATTTGGGCATATCACCCGTCAGACCAGGCCCTCGAGTGGAACCCGAGCGGGAAACGATGAGTTGATCGTCTGAGCCGATGGTGACATGGAAGAGGTCATATGAGGAAGAAATGAAGGCTTGTGGGCAGTTGTGGAGCCAGGTCTAAAAGACTGTAGAAAGAGAGTGAAACAGCGACGCGCTATTGAAGCCGTATGTTCCACTGAGAAACTAAGGAATAATAATTTCCAGTCACTTCATATTGTCATTTTATGCTTGCTAAGGTATACTACTAATAAGTAGTTTGCGTATGTTCTCGAAATCTCCATCGGCGTCTGTAAATAGCGAACTCAAATTAACTTACGATACTACACTGTTGGCTAAGTTCAATTGGATCGAATGCAGGTTGAATTTGCTACAAACCAGATGGTAGTTGAAGGTTTTAGCAATGACCCGCATCTCACAAATTTTCGAAACATATAGTGATGTTTGTAAGTTTCATAAGATATAGGCTGCATATCGATGACATCTATGGGTGCTTGCAGCTAAAGATTGCGAAATACAACGAATAGTTTGTCAGTGTCCTTGAATCTGAGAAAATCTTCCCTGATATCTCTTGCGAATGGAAACACATAGCCTGTAACCCTAGCACTGAGCCAGATAGATGAGAATTTCCAACGCAAATATGTTGCAAGTACGTCTTGCTGATGATTCCAAAACTGAAATAAGATTTACTAAAACTTGCTACACCACTAACGGTCTACTCACCCAGGGAGAAGAAACAATAGATATATGATACATTACCATTTTATTTGTGATTTATTAATCTTCGGGTACAATATGTAAACTGAATAATATAAAAAAACAATACTCAATGGACAACACACGTTATGATAAGACTAAAGAATCGAAAAGCTTCGGTAGAATATCTCCAGATTTCCCTTGGAAGTGATATCTGAAGTAGAAAATAAAAATTCTTCAAGAAACTGAGTTGTTATCCATCAACAGCAACGATGTGCTGACAATAGTATTTCTTAAACAAAGTATTGTTTCTATATAACAAGACAAAATTTCCCGTTTATCAGCTAAAACATTGTATGAAGTCACTCCTCATTTTACGATTATGCTGTGGAATTCAAATGAGTCGGTCGACAGATAGTAAGCAATAATCAAGAAATGAAAGAAGGGAAACAAGTACAGTCAACAACTATGTGCACAACTATGCAGAAGGCATTGAGGCATATTCTTCAAAATGTTAGTACTTCCATTTTCCCGTCATGGATTCCACTGTTAGCCACAATCTACCAATACTACATAACTGAAACAATATTAAGGCATCCGAGCAGGATGTCATATGCCAATAGAGACCAACCAATTCGGTCCAATCAACAATGGAATAATACAAGTAACGACATTACAACTATCGTGACTCAGTGGCCTAGTGGATGACACTATGACGTTTGAAGCGATTGGTTCTGGTCTTGGTGGAAACATCACAACTAACTGAGAGGAAGGTATATCTAGCTGAAGAGTGCCAAATGGGACAAAATGCGCGTTCTGTATTCCACTGGTATCCACTATCCATCACTTATATAAAACTATTACTGATATTTACTTGGTCTCTCGGATATCAGTGGCTTGAATGGTGTTAGAACCCATTACCAAATTGGTTGAAATTTAACTGCCCAAACTGAGCCACAATTCCAAGATCTATCTATCTATCATGTTTGATGCAACAGCGTTTGCTGTCAGGAGTCAACTGAATCAACTTCTAAAATCTAGAAATGTGACTTATTAGTTTAGGGATTAGCCTTGTAGATAAATTATATCGGTTTCAAAACCAGTTCCACTCACTTCAACCTCGGAGATGGGTTAGTCTTCAGAGTCCGTATACAGTAAATGCATTCCATATCTTATTGTGTACACAAGACATCAATTAATTTAGAATCTGGTTTAATTTGTTTCACAGAAGTATTCAAAGAAGATATGGAGGAAAAAGAAGATATCTCAAAGTAGACAACTGTGTAGGAGATATCAAAGAATGAATATAGCTGAACCCTTGTGACCGATTTCCAGCCTTGTTGCAGAATGTCTCTACTACTGACTTATATTGTGGTCTATCTACTATACGCCTGTTTCCTACCCAATCCTACTTCAGCTAACATTACATGTAGAGCGTGTGCAACATATGTCTAAGCCACCTCAGTAAGTGAAGGTTCACAACGTTATCAATTAACTCTCTATCCTTGCCTAGTGCCATACACTTGATCTCCATAACAGTGAAGTTGGGAGATGTTAGGCAGGCAACCAGCCCATACTGTTTGATCCAACTTCCTAAGTAAGTGAAGTGTGTGGGAGAGAAGAATACATAAAAATATGGAATTTAGTGCAAATGTAACCAATTTCCAGGTATATTATCAACAATCATAGATTTATATTGTCTCGAAAATATCAACATGAAGGTCTACACTTTTTTACACAACTCACACTAGACCACACCTGTTGTGAGTGACTGAGTTGCATGATATAAGGAAACCAAAATAGACAATGATTTTAATTAGTGTTATTTCTTACTGCATAAACTTTGTATTATATACTAACTAATTATAATCCTAAATCGACGAAACTGAGCTTATCAAGCTCTTAATATCAAATTCAGTAGTAACTTCATCAAGAAAAGGACTATACTATTATGCTTAGCCTTTCAATGATGATTATTAGGCAGATACGTAAAGAAGTAGTTGCACAGTGGTTATACCAATAATACAAATAGTCTCGGACAGTAGGTATTAAGTGTATTGAAAAATAGCTTACTCGTCGCAGTCCGCGAAACAGCTGGAATGGAAAGTTACAAAATTTGGTCGGAAACACATCGAAATCTATCACAGAGATAGAGGCAATATTGATGCCTTATATTTCTATAAGTACTATCCCATATATTGTATTTCTGTACATATTGTGTTTCCTTTGCATAAAACAAACGCCTTCAGGATTTACTTCAAAAAGCTAAATCTATGTGTTCAGAGTGACTGAGTACAACCTGGCTCTTTGCCTTGGTCATTAGAGCAACTCATTTAGTAACATCATTGTATATTTGGATTGAAGAGCTTTAGATTGATCTCGCTATCTATTTATGTATGACTTATAGTTCAGAACAAATTGCATGTTCAGTGAAATCCATTACTGAGCATCAGCTTATATTTAGTGCTTGAAATTAATTGTTTCATTTTTACAAATTATGGTGCGTTGTGGTCAGTTAATTCAGTTGTGAATCACATCGTCTGATAGATACGAACAATAAATACCAAACTTTGTATTTTATTTTTTGTAAGCGGTTAGGGAAGAAGAGGCGACGAATTGTGTAGCTCATCGTGTAGGTGGATTGAGTATATGAGACCAATGACATGCAAGGCTGAATCAGTAGAGTCAAGTACTTGAGATAACTGAAACCAGAGTAAGTTATAATAATTCTCATTTACATTTCTAATTTTATGTTATTACTGTCAACAAGTGATGAGATAACTGATTTTCTCTTCTGCATTGATCACTGTTATACAAACTATCAGTTGCGTAATAACCTTTGTTCCAAAGTTCACAATTTTTAATATAAAACTCACCCCAATAAATGTGTTGCTGGAGTAACTTCAATATTGATTTCAGCAACAGGAACACCTCGATTAACTAAGGATGTAATAAAACTTGCAGCTGGATAAACAACAGCACTTGTACCAACAACTAGACACACATCAGTTTTACACATAATTTCATCGACTTTAGAAAGAACCTCAGGATCAAGGCATTCTCCAAACCAAACAACATGAGGACGAAGCAATCCTCCACATACATTATCTTTAATGATATTTTGACAACGTGGTAATTGTGATACTGGAACTGATTTGTATTCTTGTGCTTCAATTTTTGGTGAGCTGAAAGTACACGAAAATTGTTAAACTAGGAGTACTAATTGAAAGAAAAGGGCTAGAAACCATAGTTACTTTGAATAGTTTCAAAATGAATTACGAAATCATACACGTAAAACCTGCTGCAGTCATAAATCTGAGTATTTTCAACAATAAAACATTAAACAATGGTGCTGAATGATACACCTTCAGACCTTTAAGGAAGTATGAGCTTTCTTGAGGTTACAAAGGCATGAACCTGTAAGCTTACAGGTTCAATAAACTGACTTTTAACCAATCAATCAATATTTTGAATCAACTTCAGTTTTTTAGACAAAATATTGTACAATAATTGCAGCTACCTTCGAATACATCTGCCTACTTATAGTTAAGTTAGATTTACTCAAATGAAGACGTTTATTTAAGAAATATAAGTAACATGCCAAGTTTAAATAAAACTTTCTCTATATAATTAAATTGATAAGTGTCTATGCATTAGGTGTGTTCTAAAGTATTTCAAAAGCGCTCATACATTAGTTCATTTTACACATAATGGTATGGGAACCTTAAGATGTCTGGAATCTTACAATTCTCCGAAGCATTCTATTGTGTTGAAGGTACTCAACGAGTAATAATGGATAGTGGCTAGCAGTGGAACCCGAGGTACGTACTTCGTCCTATTTGGGACTCGTATCCTGGATGTACCTACCTCCCAGTTAGTGATGTTGTCCCTACCGGGATTCGGACCCGGGAGCGGTCGCTTCAAAAGCTAGAGTGTTATTCACTACATCACCGAGACACGATAGCCACTTCTTGTACGATAAGTATAGTTTTAGTATAAGTGCTTGTATTATACCGTCGTTGAGTGGACCGAATTGATCAGTCTTTATTGGTATATGGGCTCTTGCACGCATGGCCACGATATTACCTCGATTCCACTCCTAGCCACTATCCATCATTACTATCATTAGAGTACAGATAATATCGAGCCATCCGCACAGGAGCCCATATGCCAATAGAGATCGATGAATTCGGTCCAATCAACGACGGTATAATACAAGCAATTATACTACAATAAGTTCATAAGGTTCAATATAACACTCACTGAATCTAGAATACATATTGAATTCATCAAATATTGTATTCCGAAGAATCATTAACTTAAAACTCAGTGGAAGTCCCTTAGAAGAAACAGAATTCTAACTAGCGTGAAATCTTTAGAGATATGCACTTAGTCACCTCAAATTAGAGTTTAAAGTATTGCTAAGGAATTATACACTTCTCGATATGCCAAAAGATTTGAGACTGGGATTTACTGAATATGTGAATCAAATTGCACGATACAAGTCGGCTAAGAAATGAATAATACTGCTGAAGAGTTTAGACAGTCAAATGCCCCAATACAAATCTCCTGCAAATCTGGAGATGTGCGTTCATAATTATTTCAGTATCATACTCGATTAATTGCAAATGAAAGTCTTATCCTTTGGAAATAAATTTTGCGACACTCTCAAGCTAATTAACCGAATCGATACAGATGAACAATTTGAGCATATTTTTATCGTGACGCTCTAAAAAACTCAGAAAGGAACAAAACATCATCACAATGCATGATAAAGGAGCTGAAGTTGTAATTAGGGAAAGAGTTGGTTATGTACAGAAAATGTACTTAATCTAGTAAGATAAAAACAAATTCCAGAAAGTAGTGTCAGAGAAAGACCTAACCAAAAAAGTAGAAAAGGATCTAATCGTCTCACTAAATAAACTGAAAAATGATGGATACGTCTCATAGACCTTATTTGAAACGGATGGGCAGCATGGGCGGTGAAGACGGAATGTCAAGTCAATGTAGAGAAGACAGAAGTGACGAACATACTCAATCAATAACAACAACAACAACAACTGATCACCACCAACGGGAGAAATTTGAAGGAAGTAGTCTCATTCACCTACCTAACTAGGCAGGATCGCATCAACTACAGGCGATAGCACAAATGACGACGTCAAACAAAGGATCGAAAAAGCAAGACAAGCTTTCACTAATCTGAAATTATTGTGGAGATCTACTCCACTCCACTCAGCATAAAGTGTGAATAATATCCGGATTTTCAGCACTAATTCAGTCAAGTCAGTGCTTCTATGTGATGGTTGAGAGACTTGTCGCGTCACGAAAAGCATTCTCAACAAACTACAGACATCATACATCAACAGCTACCGTCTACTGAAAATCAGATCAGATGGCAAGAGTTACAAGGATAAGCAACAATAAATTATTCGTTAGTATTTTGTAGTTATATGAAGCAAAAAGGAAATATTATAGACCAATCATTATACTACACCAAGTAGTTCAGGCTACACAAAGCGCCATACTCATTATTTTCTCAATAGATAGTGAAAGGTGTATGCACTTGTATTTTAATTTGGGGGGTTTGTGGGGCTTTAATGATTTTTCCAGTTGGTATTCATCATGGACTGACATCAGTTACAGGAATATTGGAAGCCTGGGAGCACTGGACGGCTGTTTCGTCATAGTATGGGACTCCCTATCAGTGCGCATCCTCGATCCCTCCAGAGCTCGAGCCCGGGACCTCCAGGTTCCGTGGTCAACACGTCACCACTGAGCCACTGGGTCGGAACCCAATGGTCCATATTTCTAACTTATGTCACTGCACGGTGTAGCTCGACCACCCATCCAAATCAACATGGAACTAGGCATTGCTGCGTAACGGTCCGAGTTGCCATACCTCATATCAGTACATCAAGTAAAAAGGCAGTGAAGTGGGAGATGAAGATAAGAAAATTCATTCAAAAGAGATATATGAAGTGCTAAAAGAGAAAAATGAAGAATTAGAAAATGGTGAGATTCAGTATAACGTTAAGATGGCAATGTGTGTATACAAGTGCGCGACTGACATCGATTCTGACCAACCACTGACTTTCTCTTGTTCTGCGGACCCCAACCGGCTAGTCTACATCGTCCCATATGGCTCAAATCAACAGTCAACGACTTCATGCATTGGTGTCATGTTTTAGTCTGGTCACCCCAAGCCGTTTTCCAGCCTGAACCTACTTCGGCCAATATTGTGTGACGACGCAGACGGTGGTTAGGTATACGTAACACATGTCCCAGTCATCCCAGTCGATGAAGGTTCACAACTGCATCACATGCCTTACCTTTCCTCCCTAAAACTCTGCACTTGACTTCTGTGTTACTCATATAGTGACACCACGAAACCCAGTCTGTGCTACGAAGGCAGCGGTGATCGAACACCTGAAGCCTTCTCATGTCTTTTACCTAAAAGTTAACCTGCAATTGTGTGGATGCTTATAAAAACGGAACTAACAGAATGATACAATGATATTGGAAAGAGAACGTTTCTCAGTGGCCAACAAGTCATCTACTTGAAACAAATATGATTAACATGAATGAGAATCCGAAACTGTTATTAGTAGGGCATTTATTGATGACTGCTCAAAAATCTATCCTAATGATTGTTTTCCAATTCCTTCATGTAACTTCAACTCAAAGTTAATGAAGGTGGCGGAAGCAATTTGAACTAATTACACACACACACATACACACACACACACACAATTATATGTTCAGACAATAATGGATGTGACTATCTACCCTGCACTACTTAATGTAGTATAATGATTAGGTAGTAATATTACCTTTCTCCCCCCCCTACATAATACCGACGAATACGTTACTGGTGTGGACCAGGTTATTTGTTAGGTGATTGTAGAGAAACTATAAAATGATGTCGTCTCTCAATATTTGTCTTCCTAATACCGTAAGCTAAACAAAACAGATTTAGTTCTCAAAAAGAACGAAAATGTAACTGTTTACACGAACAGTCGATTCAGTTCTAGTGCGTAGCTATGAAATATGGTCAACATGATTCAGCTGTAAAAATTTCTATCTCAATACATTAGAAATATTATTTGAGTTCGTTTGCAGCGGTTTCGATAACGTCGATAAGTATGCTGTGAAATAAACGAATAAAACGGACGGGACATATTATGAACTCATGTCAGGTTGCTACGTATCACAGGACAGTATATAAGGTGAAGTTGGTAAAACACAGACAATGACCGGATAGAAGTACGCTGTTATAAAAGATAGGGTCACTAACTTAGTTCATAAATCCTATTTGAAAGTATAGACTTATTGATAGTAGGTTTACGGAATAGCAGTAGCCACAGATTTCAAATATTAGGTAATATGGCTTAGAAATGATTCAGACTGCATCAAAACCATTGGCTGTTATCTTCTCCCGAATACTGAATATTTGAGTCATCCAAGTTGATCTATCCACTTTATTGTCCTGAAAACATTTCAGTTCCTTGCATGCTTATCACTTAATTCTTGCTGTTGGTTCCCTCTGACTTGTACGCAGGTTATTCGATATTCAGCTAGGGGATCACCTGTTCAAAATTATTACCCCAAGCAGCCCTCATATGACAGTTACAGTTCATTGCCTAGTGTATGGAGACAAAATTGGCTTCTTATTTGTAAGCATTCCGAATATTTAAGTAAAGAAATAAACGTATTTATACAGTAAAATATTCCACCTAGTGAACAGATTTACAATCACAATAATAATGTGAGAACAAATCCAAACAAAGGCAGAATGCAATATTCATTATGAACTGACATCAACTGGAAAACCATGGAAAACCTAGTAACATTGGACAGCTGTTCCATTCTAGTATGAGATTCTCAGAAGTGCACAATCACGAACACAAAGGTGATCGAACCGAAAACTGTCAGGTCTCTAGGCGATCACATTACCATTCATTTTGTGGATTGAAATCGACCAGTTCACATCCTCCTGAGGTCATAGATCCACACTCCTGAAGAGTCCCATACTTAGGCGAAAAAGATGTCCATTGCTCTTAGGTTTTCAGTGATTATCTTCACAAGTGAACAAATGAAAAATACATTGACTTACAAGTACTTCTCCCCAACACACACACACACACACACACACACACACACACACACACACACACACACATACATACATACATACATACACACAGACATTACTGTCATGCAAACCCGAAAGCAACCATCATAAAATGCATTAATTGCATAAAAAATTACTACTCTTCAGAAAAAACAGCATAAAATGCAATCGAAAATTAGTAAATAGTTATCTTACCCACGACCTAATAATGCTGAACATATTGGGCTATCATAGTTTTCGCGGACATCATTACACTCCAAACACCGTGTTTTGTATACATTTCCTGTTGGTAAGAAGCACAGTTTGAACTTGAAGTCAGGAAAGTGAAAGCTTAGGTTTTACAGTTGGAATTTGTTATGGTTTCGAAGCGCTAATAGTAATATATATATGTAATACGCGCGCTTAGCTGACAGCTAACTTGGTACGCAAGAGACACTGACTGCAACCCCTGGACGAATAGAGAGAAGACTGAGGCTGGCACATGGAAGAGTGTATTACTCCGACAGTATAATGATGAATCAATCCAAAACGCGTGAATTAGTATAAACATGACAAATGGCCTTGTCCTTAATTTGAGGCATTGGCATAGTAAGACTAAAGATTAACCAATTAGCGATTTACATTACAATGGTGGCAGAAAATAGACTATTAGTCATACAGTAAAAAGTGGTGTGGGAATGATACGTTAAAATGATCAGATCAATAACAATGTTTTATACAAAACTAGGGCATCACAACAGAATTAAGTGTATTTTTTCTAAAAGCAACGAAGAAATAGCTTCCTTTACGTTGATTATCAAAAAGCTTCGAAAGATATTTGTGCATAGTGTTAACTTTGTGTATCTGGGCAAAATGCTAATTATCTCAATTTCGTTAAAAGTGGAAAAACTGTTCAAACCACCAGAATTTAACCATAGAACTTTGACAGACTTGTGGTGTTGAACAAGAGAATACGATAGAAGTGTGAGGAAATATCGCTACGGAATATGTTACTTAGAAGCGGTTTGTGACCAATTTAATCCTTTATACTACTTATAGTTGTATTCAAGCTGATATGAATAACCTAAATTTTCACTGGGAACCACTTCCTATACACATTTATGATGCGCTCACTCCCTAAACTTATTTTAATCTGATTCAGCTTTGAAAAAAAAACATTCCAATTGCTTGGCATGGAGCATACCCATAACTTTATTCAGAAATCTTTCAGATGTAGACCATACCAGACAGATACAGCAACGGACGCAAATGATTACAAGCAGATTTAAAAATCCTAAATTTGGTATGATTACTGTTGGCAGTTTTGAATTTATGCTGAGCTAACTCGCTACACACCTCGCATGCCTAACAAATGTATCGACAGTGGGGTGCAAACGCACCTAATGTTTAACGGACAGCATGTAACACTGTCCGCAGATTTCACTGCGATCTGCTGTTAAATATAATCATTTTAGTTGACCATTTCTTCGTAAAGTGTTGGATGAAGTGAGTTCTTATAAATATCTGTATATCGTAATGGGAATCAGTTCGGGATATGTCGCAGAACGACACTTGGCAAATGAATGGTGGATACTGACTGACAAGTTAATCCAGAGTATATTTCAAATGTTATTTCGATTCACAGATTGTTATCTAACATGTCATCATCATTCTGAGTAAAACTTTCTTTATATAAATGAAATCATCGTTTACTATATCAGACGACAACCACGTGCACACTGAGTTAAGGAGCGGCTATCATGATGTCTCCAAGACCATCGAAGGCTCTCAGGCAGTGGGAGCCAATCTCCTCCTCCAGGATCATGACAGCAAGATTCAAATCAAAAGGAAAGAAAGTCACAATCATTCAATGCTACTCACCAACAAATAATGCAGATCAAGAGAAGAAGGAGGAATTATACAGACAACTGCAATCAGTATTATACAACACTCCAGCTGGCGACATCAAAATTGTAGTGAACGACGTGAATGTCAAACTGGGAGCAGACAACACAGGAGGAGGATTCATCATGAGTCGAGAAGCACTTGGTGAAGTGGTGAACGAGAATGGAGAACTGTTTGCAGATTTCAGCGCATTCAACGATTTGGTGATTGAAGACACTGTCTATAAACACAAGGATATTCACAAGGTGACATGGACTTCCCCAGGTGGACACACTAAAATCAGATCGACTTCATCTCAATTTCAAGAGAGTGGAGATGCAGCCTACTTGAAACAAGATCAAGAAGAGGAGCATACGCAGCTTCACACCACTCACTATCTGCACGGAACCTAACTTCAAAATCAGGTTGAAAGCCCTCAAAGAAGCTGGTGATGATGGACCACAGTTGAAGTTCAACATCCATAACAGAAACTAACTGAAGGACAAAACTTCAGAGGACATCTTCACGTTAGCTATCAGGACACAATGGGAGATATTACGCAACATCCATGAGGAAACCGGTGTGGAAGAACACAGGAAATCTTTGAAAGCGACGTGGAAAGAAACCTGCATAACTAGATTACGAAGAAAGAAGATAAGGAATGGATCTCGACGGATACATGGAAGCTGATAGAGCGGGGAGAGGAAGACTGCGAAACTGAAGATGAACCAGTGCAGTAAAAGGATGAACAACGAGAAGAGGAACTGAGTACAACGTATAAAACACTACATTGGACAAAGAAGTGAAGAAGAAGAGTGCGCGCAAAGACATAAGACACTGGCAAGTGAAGCAGAACAGGCTGCAGGTAAGAGAGACACAGACCTGACAACATTGTATCAAACAACCAGGTTACTATCTGAAAGGGAAGGGATTAACACAGATGAAACCAATAAAAGATGATGAAGGAAATCTAGTTACCAAAGAGGAGAAACAAAGAAAACACTTCAGAAAGCTCTTGAATCGACCACTACCACCAACACCAGCAACTCGTCCAAAAATACCACCACTAACCGCAGAATTAGCAGTGAACACAAACACACCGAGAAAAACAGAACTGAAGTCCTAAACGCCATCAAGTTGCTGCAATCCGGGGGAGCAGCAGGACCACAGGAAAATCCTCCACAAGCACTGAAAACAAACGCAGAGACAACAGCGGACATGCTCACACCACAACACTACTGCAGAATCTTTGGAAGGGAGAAAGGAAAGGTACCTACCCACTGACTGGAAGAAGGGCTACCTAGTCAAACTCCCAAAGAAGGGAGACCTAAGCCTTTGCAAGAACTGGTGCGCAATCATCCTACCATTCACCCGAAGCAAGCAAAATATTAAGCCGCATCATTCTTAAGAGACTAAAAAGTGCACTGGACTCAAAATTACGACTGAAACAGGATGGCTGGCTCCTGCGAGAACATATCATGTGCAAATCAAATTCCAACGCTGCACTACACTTTGCAAAGACCTTCAACAGAATCAGCCGACAAGTCATTTGACAGACACCTGCTTCAACACTAAGGTTTCAGTGCCGCAAACATTTTTCAACCTCATTCACAGCTATAGCTGTATGCGACATGACGCCACATGCCAGGTGATCCACAATGGAAAGCTCAGTGATGTCTTTGAAGTGAAGATAGGAGTTAGACAAGGTGGCCACCTACTATTACCCATCATCTTTCTGATTGTGGTCGACTGACTGGATCATGCAATAAATCGTGAGGAGTGAAAAGATGGGCATACGCTGCTTGACCAATAAGAAGAGTCCAGAAGATTTGTATTCCGCCGATCATGTTAATTTTTGTTTAGTGTCTTATCGCACAAACTCCAAGATTTACAGGCGAAAACTAAAGAGTTGACAGAAGAGGCGATGCAGCGAAATTGAGACTTCCTTCAGGTGAACATTAAGAAGACAGAGATGATGAACGTACGCGATCAACGACAACAACAACCAATCACCATCAATGGGAGAAATATAAGCGAAGAAGTCGCTTTCGCTCCCCACCTACCTACCTACCTAGGCAGCACCGTTTCAACTACAGGTGGCAAAGATGAGGATGTCAAAGGCACAATGAAAAGACAGCAAGACAGACATATTGAGATGAAGTCGATCTGATTTTTAGTGTGTCCACCTGGGGAAGTCCATGTCACCTTGTGAATATCCTTGTGTTTATAGACAGTGTCTTCAATCACCAAATCGTTGAATGCGCTGAAATCTGCAAACAGTTCTCCATTCTCGTTCACCACTTCACCAAGTGCTTCTCGACTCATGATGAATCCTCCTCCTGTGTTGTCTGCTCCCAGTTTGACATTCACGTCGTTCACTACAATTTTGATGTCGCCAGCTGGAGTGTTGTATAATACTGATTGCAGTTGTCTGTATAATTCCTCCTTCTTCTCTTGATCTGCATTATTTGTTGGTGAGTAGCATTGAATGATTGTGACTTTCTTCCCTTTTGATTTGAATCTTGCTGTCATGATCCTGGAGGAGGAGATTAGCTCCCACTGCCTGAGAGCCTTCGATGGTCTTGGAGACATCATGATAGCCGCTCCTTAACTCAGTGTACACGTGGATGTCGTCTTGGTGACCGGAGTAGATTACTGACTCTCCAGTTAACAGCATGGGGAGTCCACTTCCATTCCATCTGCCTTTGCAGATTCCAAGCACTTGCATGCCATATCTCATCTCTTTTGCAATCTGGGCAGCCTTGCTAGGTCCAAACATAGTGCGGACACTCCATGTCCCTGTGCTCAGCTTACTCTCGCTTTCATCGAGAGAAGAGAGGATACATCGGCCAATTGGCTTCTCGAAAGCTTTCATCAACCGGCGTCACTTCGTCTTTCCGATTCCAGAGAGAAATAAGTTTGTTTTTATTTTTTATATTTTCTTTGTGCTTTGAAGTTTATTTAAGGATTGGATTGCTTTTGTGGGGTTGGGTTGCTAGCCCTATGCCCAACCTTTCCTCCTTACTCAGGCTAAGGACGGGCTAGTAACTAGTGAACTGGGAAGAGCAAATAAAACCTGAAAAAGTGCACGAAAATGCTGCCTTTAGATGACTAAGCTGATCATGTCTCAAAAATGACCTCTAGTCAGCGTACAACCCATAATTTAGGTTTTTTACGTGCCGTTCTAGTTTGCGAAGACTTTTCAAAGGTTTTACTGATGGAGGAAAGCTCAGTTTTGAAATCTGTGGAAGCTTTCGTAAGCTAAACCGCTCATTCATACGTGGGTGGGTCGACATTATTTCATCTAATTCTTCACTCATAATAGAAAGCAACCTTCTTAAATTCTTTGCTGCAGGTGTGTTCAAACGCTTAGAACTAAATAAACCTTTAAATTGCTCGGGACCATATGGTATACCAAGTATTCCGTTTAAAAAATGTGATGGTAGTTTTGCTATCCATTCACGAAATTTTTTTGATGACTACCGTTCCAACCACATGAAAATAAATTTTAGTGGTTCTGGTACTCCAGTTCATAAGCTATGGAATAAATACGGAATCTTGCCGTTCTCAAAAACAAGCAGGAAATTGTTATTACTCGTGCCTGAAGTTCTGCTGGAGGCTCTCGAAAATGACAACCGCCTTGCCTACATACCTAGATGAAATGCCTAAGCTGTCGCCTCTTTTTCAATGAGGTATTTTTTTATTCCAGATAGTTGTGATGTGTGTGTTAAGTCTTCCCCCGAATACTACATTTCTACCTTTGATTCTGTCCCAGCACAGTTTTATGGAATGGGTTTTATCAGTGGCTACTTAATGATGAGGGTGTACGCAATGGTGTTAGTTTCAAACGCATCCCGAAGCGAATCGGATAACACGAATAAATATCACCTCTGATTGACCGGAATGTCTTGGACCTTATCCTAACCGACAAGCACTATTTCAGCACACGTTAACGACAGGTAAGCCGAAAGACAAACAACAAAGGATTCAAAAGAATGTGGTCAATTAGTTTGTTCGCAGTCCTGTGTACATAAACCAAGTGAGTTCCAATATTTGCGTGATATTGGTACTCATTGGAGCTGGTATGTCTCAAACTGCTGTTTTTTCTTCCATGATTTTCTCTTCTTTTCGCATGAATTAAACTTTCAAATAAGTTAGTTTGTTAGCCACATGAGTTTTCTATAAGTGCCCATGCAATATCTATCTTCTTCAAATCGATCCCAACCTGATAATCTCATAACCTAAAATTAACAAAAGAGTTTCCTGACTAGTATAACATTTGATCCTCCGAAAGTCTGACGGGCTATTTTAGGTTAAGAAGTGAACGAGACTTATACAAACTGCTCCAGTTACACAACTCTGCCCACTGATTGGAAGAACGGCTACCTTGTCAAACTCCCAAAGAAGGGAGACCTAGGCCTTTGCAAGAACCGGTGCGCAATCATGCTCCCGTTCACCACAAGCAAGCAAAATATTAAGCCGCATCATCCTAGAGACACTAAAAAATGCGCTGAACTCAAAATTACGACTGAAACAGGATGGCTGGCTCCTGCGAGAACATATCATGTGCAAATCGAATTCCAACGCTGCACTACACTTTGAAAGGCTTTCAACATCGTCAACCGAGAGGTAATTTGACAAGCACCTGCTTCAACACTAAGGTTTCAGTGCCACAAACATTTATCAACCACATTCACAGCTATAGCTGTATGCGACATGACGCCACATGCCAAGTGATCCATAGTGGAAAGCTCAGTGATGCCTTTGAAACGGAGACAGGAGCAGGACAAGGTTGCTGCCTACTATCACTGATGATCTTCCTGATTGTGGTCGACTGGACTGGACTGGATCATGCACCAGACAACTGTGAGAGGTGAAAAGATGGGCATACGCTGCTTGACTAATGAAAACAGCCTAGAGGATTTGGATTTCGCCGACGCTGATGATTTATGTCTAATGCCTTGTTACACAAACTCGAAAATCTACAGTTGAAAACCAACACGTTGACAGAAGAGGCGAGGTAGTGAAGACGGGACTTCAGGTGATCATGAAGAAGACAGAGGTTTTGAATGCACGCAAGCAATAACAAGAACCAATCACCATCAATGGGAGAAATATAAACGAAGTAGCCTGTTTCGCCTTCCCACCTACCTATCTTGACAGCACCGTTTCAACTGCAAGTGGCAAAGATGACGACGTCAAAGCCACAATGGGAAGGACAGCAAGATAGGCTTTCATTAGTATAGGTGTAAAACGACGGCACTGTGGTTTGGAAGCTTCCATTAGCCGGAAATCAGTATAGAGATCTACTCCACTCCACTCCTCTCCTCTCTACTCAGCATGAAGCCTGAACAATATCTGGATTTTCAACACCACTCACTCAATACTGAATATCAGATGAGATGAGATGAGATGAGATGGCCAGAATAATAAGAATAAGTAAGAAGAAAGTGACTGTGGCTGCCTGGCTGGTAACGAACTAACCAACCAACAACCTATCACCCAACAAATATGCAGAATGGAGTTGAGATGGATTGAATTGGATTGGATTCGACATAGACTGAGAAGACGATTTGGGGGCATCACGCGTCAAGTCAGTCCAGGCCAGGTGGTCGAGTGGAACCCGAATGGGAAACGACGAGTTGGGTCTCTGAGCCGAGGTTGACATGGAGGAGATCGTGTGAGGAAGAAATGAAGGCTTGTGGGCAGTCGTGGAGCCAGTTTGAGAGGACTGCAGAGAAGAGGGTGAAATGGCGACGTGCTACTGAAGCGCTATGTTCCACTAAGAACCCAAGTAAGAAATAATCAATAATAATAATAATATCTTAGATATAACACTATGTGGTTTCCCTCAGTCTGGTTCTCAAACTGACGTCCAGTTTCAAGGTACTTGATGAATAGGTGTGCGTATGTGTCTCAACAGTATTTCAGAACTTCACCGAACGCTTAATCCCTAATGGATAAAACCTTACACGCACACAACTCGCACAGATCTTTTAGAGTCTTTGCATCCATAGGAATCTTTATACACTAGGAGTTTTTCATACAAAGTGTAGACTTTTAATTACTATAGTTGGTAACTACCTTTATTTTCATAAGGTCAATTGCTCAAACACCTTTTTTAATAGGCATAGCAAGTATAATAGTGAGTGAAGTACTTCCCGGAAGGTAAGCAGTTTAAGCTAAATACAGATAGAAACTAGCTACAAAGTAGTTTGCATTTAGAAGTTTCACTGAGAAAGCATATTGGTAATATACTGTGAATAGGTTACCAGAAATACGTAAAAACTTTCTGAATTACAGATAAGACAGCACAACAGTATTCGTGTATGCGGTTCACACAACCGAATTTATCGGAAAAAACAGGAGTCTAACCGAACCTTTCATATTCCAGGTCGATATCATTTTAATAATGCTGAAGTTAAAGAGTATGTTTGACCAAAACAATGGTAGTTTTCTTCTCCTAATATCAATGAACACTATTTAGAGTCAGATAGAAAACATTTCTTCTACTAACAACCGAATGACCTTTAGAATCAACAATAACATCTCACAATTATCCATGCAACCTGAATATACACCTCAGTTCTTTACGTTTTTTGTCCTGATACAGTTATCAGACTACAAATCGGAACGCTAATGACTAAGTATTGAAGCTTAGAGAAAACCAAGTGCTTTTATTGAAAATGCTATCGTCAAATTCTTAAATATAAATGCATCAGCCATTTGGGACCTCGCACAGCCAAGGGTCAGTTCAAGTTACCACACCTATCAACGGCCTACAGAAAAACTAATGGTAAAAATAGTAACAGCAAACAGAACAAAAAATATAAGGGAATGACGAGGAATGATAAAAGAAACGTGTTCAAGATTTCAAGAGTTAAATGAAAACAACATTTGAGCATAATTGTGTCGATTTTATACTAGATCCTCTAACGTTACCAAAAATTTCATGAACCCGATTTGAGGAGCGCATAGTTCAGAATAGTTTAGACAAAAAGCTACTGACTTCGTAGATTAGCACTACACCTTGATCTGACCACCCTCAAGATTCCTATAATAAACTACCAAACCATCCGCTTTCACATATCTAAGATGATGACAACGTATTTAATCCAGATCCTACTTGATTCACGGTTGCAGTACTTGAAACTGCTTCTCGGAAGATATGTAACGATATCTGATCAAGGATACGTATACACCAACAAATTAATAAGACCTCAAAATCGAATTTATGTAGGAAAAGCGTTTCCCTGCCTAACAGACATTGTAAATATTGAATACAATTCAGAAAAGATTAGATTACATTAGAAATAATACAGAAAATAGAGACATACCGTGTAGTTCTAATATATTATTACTTCCTGCTTTTGTATGCAAGCCATCTACATTTTGTGTAAACACAAAAAACGAACGACCACATTCGAGATATTGTGTTTCAGCATGTGCAAGAGTCAAGTGGCCATTATTAGGTTGCTTACTACGGATTGTTTCACGGCGATAGTGATAAAACTCCCAAACTAGCCCTGGCTCTGAGTGGAATGCACTGGGAGTGGCAAGATTCTTTTAATGCGTATATTTTGTAGATCATTTAGAAAGAAATTACCTGGGCAGAAAAGTTCCTCCATAATCCACCAGATCCTCGAAAAGTTGGTACCTGGCTTTCAGCACTAACACCGGCACCAGTCAAAACCAGCACATTATGCGACTTAGACAAAATCTCTCTGAATGCATTGATATCGGAAGAATATCTAACGGGCTGTATATTAATTCCCTAAAAGTATCAGCAATGGGACTGAAAACACGATAGCATACAATACTTTTCCTCATCCAAAAACGATAGAAAGACGAATGAACCATTGGACCTAAAATTAAAACCAAGGGAGTATAGACAATTTAATGTAAAAGATATAAACTTAACCAAGTATGAAGATATTACTTATATGAAAATTGTTATTTAGACAATCCATTTGGGATAGTGACAACGTTTGCCTATTCGATAGACAACCTTGGATTACACCATTTCGATTTTGTCCTAATGCGTAGAAAAAGCCAGCTGGAAAGCGTAGTGATAATGAAGACAGATATGCATTTGAAGAAGGAGAAAGGTGTTCTAGGAACTACATATGAACAGAGGGAAAGTAGGACTTTTCTACCGAGTGATCATCAATTCTATCTAAGCTTCCCTGACGAAGCGAATAATGAACAGGAACAAGCTCGATTCCTCAAGCTTTCATGATGTTTTGCAGTCATTGACGCACCAACAGACAGCAGGTCAAAATTCTCTAGTTATTGGCATCACATAAGCTGACGATTTCATCACTCTTACTGGTAAACCAAAAGACTATTCACGACACGAAGTTTGTAGGGATGCCAAGTGTAATGAGGTGAGTCGACTGAAGATAATTACGTTGGGCCTCATTTCCTGGACGGCAGCTCCCGACCGACAGCTGCCACCTTGACGTAGTGGTAGGGCGCGTATTTCACAATGATCCAACCAGCTACACTGGTTGGAACGCTTGTTCCAACGAGATCTTACCATGCCAAAAAGGTCTGTCGCATATTGGTAAGACGAAAAGCAATGTAACAGTGTATACTGTTAGACTATGATAGAAGTTCGAGGGCAAAATCGTACAGTTGGCTGAAGTGAATGTGGCAGCAGTATGTTTCCCTTGGATGACCAATAGTGCTACCCTAACGTTAACTTTCCTACGGTAAGGAAGAGTTAAAAAAGGTCGGTCCTAAAGATAGCACATCTCCCTGCTCCGCTGTTTTCCAAAACTGGTGGTATGGGCTTTCTTCATCCGGTGCTAGAACAATTAAATCTCATACCGACGATCCTCAAAAAGCCGTGTGACAGGCCTCAAGCAGATGTCCCACAAGCTCTGTTGAAAGACAAGTCATTTTTAAAAGAGATAGCTGGGTTTGACCACAATGAAAAACGAAATCAACTTAAATGTAAACTGACGAAGTCTTTGCAATAATCAACGGGTGAAGTGAAAGAGATGGAGAAGGTATCAGCGATAGGTAACACCCGGAAACTATTTAGGCTTATTAAGGATACCGAAAAGAAGGGAACAATTGTTAGTGAAACCATCACTGAAAAGGATGGGACACTGTTAGACTTCCAGGACAGAGAGCTAGAACGTCAGAAGGAACACTTTAAAGGTAAGTTAAAAAGCCCAAAACAAAGCTTTGGTTGCCCTACATTTAACGTGAACCTGAATAGGACATCAATGTCGGTCGGTCGAAGTTGGGAAAGCTGTTTCAAACCTAAGACGATGCAAAGCAGCAAGATCTGACAGTTAGCCACCCGGAGTTTTTGAGGGTGGAGGTAGGAAAGTTCTGATTGAAGTGAGAGGTTATAGGTAGTGCCCTCAGACTGGTCTACATCACTGGTCATAACAGTACATAAGGAACAGAAGTCTTTCTGTGACAATCAGAGGGGTACCAGTTTCACTAATAGTGTCCAAGATCAGAGAATCCAAAGCTATCCGACGCCTAACTAGAGCTCGAGAAGAGGGAACTCGAGGAAACTAGGCAGGTGTCACACCTCAACGATGGACGATCGATCAACTCCTCATCCTTCGACAGGTCCTGCAGAAAAGGTATGCTCACCGATGGCTGACATTTGCCATACTGTTTGACATGAAGGCGACACTCAGTCGACCATGGGTGGTGTCAGTGTAACTGTGAAGTGAGTACCGAGAAGGAAATAGCGCCAATCAAAGCCCAATCAAGTCCGGCAACGATCCTATTTAATTCCGCTGTAAATGTAATAATAGACATAGCATCCATGTCTGATTTTACAGGGACTGATCTACTTTCTGGAGAGCATCTAGTTGACTTGCAGTGCACAGAAGATATAGTCCTGCTAGGTGAAGATGCTGAAAAAATGCAGGGTTTTTGGAACACGATGAGCAGAAACCTGAGTATGTTTAGCATGCGTTTCACTGGCACCTGTCAAGTCTAAGATGCTCGAGGACTGCCCTGCAACCACTCCCAGTTTGATAATAGCTAGTGAAGTGGTGGGATATGTTGATCACTTTACTGACTTAGAGCGTTGTATGAGTTCGGATGAACTGATTGACGAGGAAGTATTAGTCCGGATACAGAAGCCCCGTTAGGAATTGGCACTCTCGCAATGAGGTGACGGTGAGACAAGCGACTACCTATGAGAGGACAAGTATACTGCTCCGCAGTTCTCTTCGCTATATTATACAGCTGTGAAACGGCCGTTTAAAGTAGATATGAAGCAGTTAACTTTTTGATCACAAGTGTCTTTATAGTATTGCTCGAGTATGGTGGAATCGCCATGTTAGAATTGTCGAGATTAGGCGTAGGGTACTAGGCAGGGAAGGGAAGTCAGTCAGTGAGGTTGACAGGAATGTCTTGATATGTACCTTAAAGGATAGTTACAACGTAGAAACTGTATTCTGCAACACCACTTACTCAAGTAGATAGAAACGCCTGAAATAAGATTGCTTACTGGCTACTCAGAATACACTGTCGAATACTGAGGCAAATTACACTCACTGGAAATGCTGTTACAATAAGTCCCAGTACTTAGTGTGTTACCGGAGAGTTTCTTTCAGTAACATTGCAACGCATCAGTTTGTGCGAAACAGATGTGCATCTAGGGTTTTCGCGAAGGGAATAGATGGAAAGAACCAACCAAGGGAGAACTAATGCAGCAGAAGTGACTACGTTTCCAAAATGTCTACTAAGGAATTAAGTATTCACTGAACAGTGGTAGTGATCTGCTAATAAACCAAGTTAGCTTAAATAAGGAAATGGAGGTGGAACCCCTTACAGCTTCATACCTAGGAAAAAGAACCGATTCATATTTGTTGTTTGTGGATAGAAGGCTGTGACCCTGTATTAACCCTCTTCTAGTAGATTTCTGAACTTGTCCAGTCCTTACGAACGAGTCAATTGATGACGCGAACACTACTTCTTCTAGGAGTAGGTTCAAGAACCCTGGGACCATTACTCTAGGAAGACTGCATTCGTCTTTTGCTTTTGTATTTTCTTCAATTGTCCTAAGGTGTCCGGATAAAGAGGGAAGGAGAGGAAAAGAAATATCATTTCTTAGGATACAGGTTAGCATGACTAACTCTCCTGTCTGCGATAGGCTAAAGAGAATAGGTTTAGTCCTAAAAATTATACGAGTGTTTGCCCTGTGAATTCTTTCCAGAAAGTCTGAATCACCTTTATGACAAAGATTTGCCGCCTGTTTCCAGTTTCGACCTAAGGATGCGCATAAGATGGAAAACAGCACCACTCATTTTTGTAAGCGTTCTGAGTAATGCACCGTGTCCTAAAACTTCCAACTGAAATAAGTCAACAGTATGCCGTGGTCTTCAAATCATAACTTACTGCAACTCCTGGTCAGAACTGAGGGTAGACGAGTGGCAACAATACCGTAAGTGCTGTAATCTGTGTGTTCTATATGGATTTCACACACTTACCTGGGTTGATAGACATCGGTCATTTTTCTGACCGAGCAAACAAGCTGTTTAGGTCTGTCTGAAGTGCAAGCACATCCTCGTCATCCCTAATTTCTGGCCAGATTATTACATGTGTTGAGAACCTTAAGTTTTTTGATATTCTGCAGGTCATTTATAAGAGGAACCCCAGGACAGAGCCAAGCGTCACTTTAAGCAAAAATCACCAACAAAGGTTACATTACTTTACGAGAACAAGATGATACTGTACATATGAAAGCATTTAAATAATGTAAATTTCCTGAACATGCTGAAGAAATGCGGTTTAACTGCGAGGCAGGATTTCAATAGAGAAGTCAGAAAGATCTCTGGACAAGCATTTTTCCATGTGTCCCCAAAGCATCTGTTCATTTCCAGTAACTAGACTGTTGTATTTCTGCCTCAGCGTAATCACGTACGTTAACACTGAATTATTAAACAAAGAACGTTTAGCGAAAAGTCACTCTTTTCAGCAATATCCTTCTCAAGTTGTCCAATCGCATATAAGTATTCTATCCACATAGTAACAGAAAAGGAATGTTTCATGAAATATTTCTTGAACGAAGTTCAAATTTGATTATAAATTAAGATTTGTTGTTTGAGGCTGGGAGCCTATATTAATCCTTTTCCAGTAAATTTCTGTGCTTGTCCAATCCCCTTTTTGAACGAGTCAGTTGATGATGCGCACACCACTTCTTCTGGGTGTTTGTTCCAGGTGTTGGTTACTCTACGCGAGAACCAGTAATCTGCGAAGACTATATTGGTTCATTGCTTCTGTAGTCTCCTACTATGTCCTCTGAAGTGTTCCGACCTAGTGGGAAGGAAAAGAGAAGATAGATCAGGTCCGAAGTCATTTCTTAGAATCCTGTATAGCATGATTAAGTCTCCCCTCTGTCTGCGATAGGATTAAGTGAACAGGTTCAGCTCCTTAAGTCGGTCTACCTAGGTGGGGCCAGCCATCACAAGGATCATACGAGTGGCTGACCTCTGAACTTTTTCTAGGTCTGCGTCACCTTTTAGACAAGGATTAAATGCCTGCGTACAGTTTTCTAATTTAGACTTAACTATGAATGTGTACAAGGTGGTGGACATGCAACCACTTATTTTCGTAAACGTTCTACGTAATCTCCAGAGAGTCCTATAACTCCGAACTGCTACCCATCGACAGTGAGTCGTGGTTTCCAAGTCATAACTCACCGTAACTCCTGGGTCACTATGGGTCAGTACTGGCGGTAAATGAGTCCCATCAATATCGTAGGTGTTCCTGTGTGCCCCAAGTGCATGCTCACACATTTACAAGCATTGATAGGCGTCAGCCACTTCTCTGACCAGGTAAACAAGCTGTTCAGGTCCACCTGAAGCGCACGTATATCTTCATCGTTCCTAATTTCTGGCCAGATTTTTACATCATCAGCGTAGAAAGCCATAGGGGATTTCGTGATATTTGGCAGCTCGTTTACGTATAGGAGAAACAGCAGGAGGCCCAGGACTGTGCCTTGCGGCACTCCACTTTCTGCCGACTTCCAAGTGGAGAGGTGAAAATTGATCTTAACTCTGCCTCCTACCAACAAGAAAGTCTCTTATTCGTGTGAGCAGACTGCCAGTGATTCCAAAACTTCCTAGTTTACCGAGCAACCTAGAATGAGGTACTTATCAAACGCCTTACTTAAGTCAATGAAAATGACATCTACAGGTATCCTAACATCTTTAGATTTAACCCAACTTCCTCTGACTGTAAGAAGGTTCGTCAAGTAAGAGAAATTTCTATGAAAACCACGCTATGAACGAGGCAATAGAGTGTTGCTCTCTAGATGGACTGTGATGGCTTTCTTGATTACTCTTTCCAGGATTTTCACTACAGTACCAGTCAAACTTATTGGTCTGTATTTTGATGGGATCTGCCTAGAACCTGCCTTGTGGATAGGTACTACTATGGTATCTTTCCGGTCATAGGGGAGTATGCCTTCACTGAGAGACAGTCTGAATATAGTAGTCAATGGGCCAGCTACATAGAATACAAGCTCTCTAATCAGCCTTGGGTGCAGCTCATCCGGTCCCGTTGATTTTTCCAAGTCGAGATTACTTAATATCCGAAATACATTATTGCGATCGATATCAACAGAGTTTATTCTGCTAGATTTCAATGCTTCTACTGTTGAACAAGTATCCACAGAAGATTCCTGTGTGAAGACCTCAGCAAAATATGCAGCCATGGCTTCTGCTTCTTCCCTATCGTCCTCAATCAAACAGTCAGTTTCGGTCCCATTGATTAGGGCCAGTATACCACGATACATCTTATTTCTACAGTTCATATAGGTAAATAACCTCTTCGGATATTGCAATGCAGCCTGGGCAAGACGTGTTTCAAAGCACATTCGGGACAGGTGGATAGCAGCGATACATTTATTGGGGCTTCTTTGTAATGCTTCACTATTTCGGGTGTACCAACGTGGGTGGCCAGACTCCAACATTTTTTTCTTACGTCGTAGAAAGATTCGGATTTTGTGGTTTATCCACTGAGGACGGTGTTTCCATCCCCTCGGGACAGTCCACGGAATGAACGGTTGGGTCACTCGTGCATAACTGTTTGAAGAAACACCACCTACCTTCAAATGAGGCTTCCGGATTGACTGTTCAATCTTCCGAAGAGGCTGCCAGGTTAATAGCTTCCATATTCGCTTTCCATATGTTATCTAGCTGGAGCATCAGCCAGGTACAAGACGTCTGCTGTGAATCTGAAGATGATCACAGCATGACCACTTTTACAAAAGGGTGCTAGGTGCCGGATGAAGTGCATATCATCCGTATGTGAGAATAATAAGTCTGTAACTGATGGAGTATGCTGATGGTCATATCTGGTTGCTGTCCTAATATGTTGTATCAGGGCTAAGGAAACTGATGTTCCCACTAACCTATGGTCAAACGAATTACGTGGTGGTTTTGTTATTAGTCTATCCCAGTCAATTGATGGTGCGTTGAAGTCTCCTATAACTGGACATCGGCATTTATCTGTCCAGAGGATCGGCTTATTCATTCGTTGCCGAAATCTCACTACAAAAAACCCACCACTTTCAGATCTTGCTCTCCAGCTGCTAATTTGGATTTTGGTTCTGCTTCTCGTTTTTGAATTCGATCAGCAACAGCCAGATCCTTTCGCACGAACTCTAAATCCTTAAGTCTGTGAGCACTCTTTAGAATCTGATTCCTCTCATCTGCTGACTTGAACACGACTTATTTTCAGTAACGACTGTTTCCTGTTTTCCTACTCTATAGATCCTGAGTAGAATGACTCCTGGCATGTTTTCTGCTTAAAGCTGGTTTATCAAACTTTGTACCTTGCCAAGGTCATGTCTGAAACGTTAGCGTGGTTCTGGGTCTCTATCTTCTTCCACTCCGTGGAAGATTACGGATCTGTCAAGGAGCTCTACTTTGTTTTTGCTTTGTGGAGTGATGATAGCTGGGTCGGTGACCGTTATTGGCTTCTTAGCATACTGTTGACTTAGTTACTTGGCATTGACGCTGAGTCTCAGAACGGACTTGCATCCCACTGTATGACTTTCGTCAATGATTGCAGCTTGCATGGTTCCGTCGTTAACACTAAGAGCACCTCACTCCTGTTTCTTTCATCTGAAGTAGACCTAGTCTTAGGGTCAGCAGTTTTCAGACTGGATCTGCCAGCTCTGGGGATGCGAGAACCAGAAGATACTCGCTCCACTGTACTTGGTGTAGGTTTTTTCCAAGTCGCTGTCAGCAAACTTATTAGGTAGCCTACGTGCCTGACTTAGAGCTTGTCGTGGGACGTTCTTAAATTTTTGCACAGCAATGTGTCAGTAGATTCTGTGTCGTTATCACTGTCACAGTTATCGACTTTGACTTTCGACGACAGTCTCTTAGCTATCGTATTGTGTTTTTGCTTCCTTTGCTACCAGAGTGCGAATATCTGAGCATCACAACGTACAAAGACAGACACTTCCTGCGCTACTGCACCTCTTATGTGCTAAGGGTGTGAGGCTTGTGCAGTTACCGTGGAACCAACTCTTATACTTGATACACTGCATACCAGAGGCTACTGTGAAGTGGCACCCGGCCCTAAAACAAGCATTTTTACGACACTCGGCTCACCATGTAGCAGAAACTACAAGAATCCACCAAATAAAATTTTCGGTCTCACTTTAATCAAATAATATTCCAATTAGAGCAAAAATACAAGTCTTTGATGTGTAAACATAAAAAATGCCAAGAACCTAGCTGAGCATGATAAGTCACTCTCCTTTTCAAAAAGATAGGAAAAACAATTACGTACTATTTGAAATAGCAATGAGAAGAACACATCAATGCCCCCAATATGTGTAAAGGATGAACTAGCTCCTTGGTCACAAAGATGAGCGTTTATCAATCCACCTACTCCTGTGAAGCAAAGCATATTGGCGGCAAGCAGCGTTCGCTTTCTAAACGCATTTCCGGACACATGCTACCCTGGCTCCACAAAGGAGAAAGAACACTTTGCAGCTCTAGTTTAGAACGTTCGGTCGATTATGACCATCCAGAAAATGCTGAAAACAACTTCAGTGTCATCTATAGAGTTCATGCAAGTCTCGTAAAAGGTGTACGCCTAAAACTTCCACAAACTGCGGAAGCCATGACAATTAATTTTCTGAAGCCTAAACTCTGCATTCAAAAATTTGTCGTCTTTTGACTTTAAATGAACATAACGTATACGAGCATTTTCACCCTCGAAAATCTCATTCAGGTCTCATACATTACATTTGTCCACTTCTATAATTCTGATTTCTCTTAACATTCACCATATTAAATTATTTAACTTAGTAACTAAATATTATCCCGGTCTTTTTCTCATTACTGTTTCAAACATTCCGTAGTTGTTTTTCCGAACTCCTGACTTTTAATCAAATCTGAACTTCACTCAAGAAATATTTCATGAAACATTCCTTTTCCGTTACTATGTGGAAAGAATACTTATCTGCGGTTGAACAGCTTGGAAATATGGCTGAAAAGAGTGACTCTACACGAAACATCCTCTATTTTATTACTCGATGGGGATTTCCAACCTACTAAAATGCGCCTGGGGAACAGCTGTTCCACACAGATCCTAGGATCACCAAAACCTATAGTACCGTTTATGAGTATTATTAGTATCCCCCCCCCAATAGATAGTTCGCTATAAAACGAAGAATTATTTATTCAAACAAGAGAACTATACTTGAAAATCCTTTGGATGAACAAAAGAAGGTATTCAGCACTTTGTCAACAAGCTTACAAGCACCTTTACCAGTGCTTGTACCATGCAAATCAACTACCAATGTCTACATAGACAGTATAAAAACAACCACTAACCACCTTTGTTTTACGCTTATATGCGTTTTTTTCTAATGGTTTAACACCAACGTGAGCAAAGAATTGTGCCCACTCAAAACCTTTCGCAAACAAACATTGCGGTAAAATTGAAACTATTGAACAGCACACGCTAATGCATCCTCAATCTTCGCAGCACACACCAGTAACTAAAATCTTTTTACGAGTTAGTGCAAACTCAGTGATTTCTTTGCACTCGCTTCTAAGTCTTGTAGAACGGTTCAAGGTCTTTGGTGGATTCGGATGTAGTAGGTCCATCCATTCACCTGCTGTTGCTCTGGTTAGTATGATGAGTGGTAGGGTGTTGAATCAATTTAAAAGGATTGTGTGGTTTTTCCGAAGACTGTGGAGCAGATGGGTTCTTCACATCTTGTGTCACCAGATTGTTGTTTGGAATGGTTGTAAAAAGAAGATAGAACAGATGTCCAGAAAAAAGTGTTGAGGGGAAGCACGAGGAAAAAGAAAACACGCTACGGCGAGAAGAACCGGAACAGTAGATGAAGAAAACCTCAGGCAGATTCAGGGAGGCAGTTAATAGGGAGGAGTTTAATAGGCAGTGTTTTAGGATTTGTCCTGGTGCGAACTTGGCAGACGCAAAGACCAATCACTAATTATTCGAACTTGTTATATACCCACGAATACGAGACCAAGGTAGAACACGATAGCGTAGTCGGATGGAATAGTATATTTGGATGGTTATGCCAAAATACCGATGCGTTCCAACTAACTGGCTAGAGAGTCGAATACGAGCAATGCAACGTAACACGACAGCGTGCCAAATGGCGAGGATGCTTGACCGGGTGCCTTCAGCTTAGCGTGTCCAGTTAAACTATCAAGGTCTGCATCAATGTCGAAAGTCGTCAAACCCTAGGCTATTGATTTTGGGGAAGTGTATGACGCTACAGATCACTACCCCCCTAGTGGGTTCGTGAGGACCCTAAGACGATACCAGCCGGAAGTAAAAACCCAGTGGTTTCTCCACTGGTAAAACTCTCCCGACGGGCTCACTGCGTGAGGTGGCCCCTGGTTGTCTGAACCTTATTCTAAAGTGTCGCGGCGATTAAATAAATAAAATACAATAAATGAAATTGTACGTCGGTCGCGGTCATCTGTTCCTTTCGACGTTCCGTCCAGTGCTCGTTGCACCTGGAATATAAATAAAAGTCTTTAATACCACGAAAACGTTGCGTAAAAATGGGAATTATTTATATATAAACATATCGAAAAATAAAAAATTTACGCTTATCTTCGCCGGTTTTTTTTAGTTTTTATTACATGGTAAATAAAAATTGATATAAAAAGGAAAAGTGTACGAGGGTTTGTGCCGGTAAATAAGAAAAATAGTGCCTCGAAAAAAAAAAAAAAAATGGTTGGCACACACACAGCTAAGTTGAATAAGACTTCAGATACTCCGGGAACCTGACGGTTCGACCTGATCGTGTTTTCTGTTGCGCCGATGGTTGTTGCAGCTGTGCATTACCAGGCACATCGTCGAGAATTTCGATAATTGAGTCATCCGTCGGTCGGATGTAGCGAGCTGAAACGTCACTTACAATGGGGATGCCTTCGAAATAAGCTGGTTTCAAACGGTCGATACTGACCGCATCTTCACGTCCGTCTCGCTCAATTACATAGAATTTCTCATGTCGCTTAATCACTTTGAACGGCCCGTCGTAGGGTGGTTCAAGTGGTCGACGAACAGCGTCGTGGCGAACAAACACGTGTGATGTCTTCTGTAAACTGGGGTGGACGAAAACATCAGTCGTTTGCGGTCTAATCGGAGAAGGCCTAACTGAACGCATTGCGTTTGTAAGCCTAGTCACATAAGATGCCCTGTCGGAAACATGTTTGAAAGTTGAAGGGGAAACAAACTCACCTGGTAGGCGAAGAGTGGTCCCATAGACGAGTTCTGAGGGAGTGCATCCAGCATCAACTTTCAGCGCGTTACGAATACCTAGTAGGACTAGAGGCAGAGCCTCGGTCCACTGAGGTATGTTTGTAGCTGAAAGGGAAGCTTTCAGCTGTCGATGGAAACGCTCTACCATGCCATTTGCTTGTGGATGGTAGGCTGTCGTTCGGAACCGAGTGGAACCTAAAAGTGCCGTTAGAGCGTGAAATAATCCACACTCGAATTGGCGCCCACGGTCGGTTGTGATGTAAGATGGACATCCGAAGTTCGCGATCCATCTTTCGACGAAAACACGAGCAACTGTTTCGGCAGTAATATCTCTAATGGGTACTGCTTCCGGCCATCGTGTGAAACGATCAACACAGGTGAAAAGGTAGGTACATCCATTAGATTCTGGTAGGGGTCCTACAATATCTATATGGACGTGGTCGAAACGCATGTCTGGGGCTAGAAATGAGCCTAAAGGGCTTTTCGTGTGTCGCGTGACTTTACACTTTTGACAAGCTAAGCACGACTGGGCCCACTCCTTAACGTCTTTGTTCATCCCAGGCCAGCAGAAACGTTGTGCGATAAGCCTAATGGTGGCTGTTACACCCAGATGGGACAGTTTGTGCAACGTATTGAAGACGTTGCGTCGACAACTCTTCGGAACTATTGGGCGTGGTTGACTAGCAGAGACATCGCACAAAATTGCATCCTTGTCTGATCCAACAGGACAAAGTCGCAGTTTGGGAGTTGTGGACGACAACTCATGATGCAGCTCAGGGTCTTCCTTTTGACGCCGAGCTAGTTCAACGAGATCAATACCCTTGATATAGTTTATCGAAGCTATTCGAGATAGTGCGTCGGCTGCGGAGTTATTTGCTCCACAAATGTGGCGGATGTCTGACGTGAACTGGGAAATGTAATCCAGCTGTCGCGACTCACGAGGGGAGTATTTGTCAGACGCCGAGCTGAGGGAAAACGTTAACGGTTTGTGGTCTGTGAAAATAATGAAATCACGACCTTCCACAGAATGTCGAAAATGGCGTACAGAACAGTACATGGCTAGGAGTTCCCTACCAAATGTACTGTATCTTGTTTCCGCGTCTTGCAGCCGCCTAGAGAAAAAGGCTAACGGTTGCCACTGGTTGTCAGTCAACTGTTGCAAAACTGCTCCAATTGCTGAATCAGATGCATCAACAGCAATACTCAGAGGAGCATTGGGGTCATGATGCATAAGCATGGTTGCGTTCGAAATGGCTTCCTTGACGTTGGAGAAAGCAAGTCTAGCAGCGTTGTCCAGAGACACGAACTTTAGAGTTCCTCGAAGTAGATCTGTGAGTGGTCTTGTAGCGTCATACACTTCCCCAAAATCAATAGCCTAGGGTTTGACGACTTCGACATTGATGCTGACCTTGATAGTTTAACTGGACTCGCTAAGCTGAAGGCACCCGGTCAAGCATCCTCGCCATTTGGCACGCTGTCGTGTTACGTTGCATTGCTCGTATTCGACTCTCTAGCCAGTTAGTTGGAACGCATCGGTATTTTGGCATAACCATCCAAATATACTATTCCATCCGACTACGCTATCGTGTTCTTCCTTGGTCTCGTATTCGTGGGTATATAACAAGTTCGAATAATTAGTGATTGGTCTTTGCGTCTGTCAAGTTCGCACCAGGACAAATCCTAAATTGGTGAGCCCGACGTGATCACATATCCCGACCAATAACAAGTATTGAATTGGTGAGCCTGTTCCATTTTATATTTGTTTATTGTTTTCATTTCGATAACATTTATATATCCATTTACTACACTTTCTCATGTCCGACCACACTCCCAAGCTTATTCGTATTAAGCCGACCTCGAACACGATCCAACTCGTGCCATATTGGCCAGACAATGCAGAAACATGGTTTCTGTATGCCGAGGCCGATTTTCGAGAACAGGGTGTCTCAGATCCTCATCTCGATTTCTTGCTGTCATACGTTCACTACCGCGAGAATTAAACAGGTTGTTACAGCAAACATGTTTAATCCTGAAGTAAGTGACCCTTATGCACTTCTAAAGGCCGCACTCTTGAAGAAAAGCGATCTCACAGATCGCCAACGTCTAGACGAATTGCTTCGTAACATCGAGCTAGGCAGCCACTCAGCTACTGAAGTCCTCGCACGCATGCGAGAAGTAATCGGTGCACGAACATTTGACGATGGTTTCTTCCGAGAACTATTTCTCTCGAAACTACCACAACCGGTGCAAACCGTGTTGGTGACACTCCAGTCAGTCCCACTCGACGACCTGGCAGCTTCAGCAGATAAAATACTGGAGATATCCAGCAGACCCGTCTCCAACGTATATTCTATCTGTGACAAAACAGAGCGCCAGGATTCGGAGGTGACCAAGTTGTGCAACTCTGTGAAACGGTTGCTACGATCTCGAAGTCCTAGATCACGTAGCACTTCACAGAAACGCACCTTGGCGCATCGCAGCAAGTCGCGTGGTAGCCCTAAAACGAAACCCAACAGGGTGGAAAACCCTGAATGGTGCTGGTTTCATAACACTTACGGGGATGAAGCCAGAAAATGTCGTAAACCATGCCGTTTTAAGAAGGACACAAACTCGGGAAACGGTCACGCCGGCACGTGCTCACGGCAACCGTAGCCGGCGGAAAAAGCCGTTTGCTCTACGTCACCGACATTAAAACGAAAGTCCGCTACCTCGTCGACACCGGCGCAGAAGTTAGCGTTCTTCCAGCAACGACAAAGGAGCGTCATCTCGACCCATCCTTCAATCTTCAAGCAGCCAACGGCAAGGCAATCGCGACATTCGGGAGACGGTATGCCTACCTCAACTTAGGTTTACGCAAACCTATTCACTGGATTTTCCTCCTGGCAGACGTCTCTATGCCCATCATTGGCATAGATTTGCTGAACCATTACGATCTACTCGTAGATGCTCGCCGTCGACGACTGATAGATAACAACACAAAGTTATCTATTGGCGGCACCACCTATGTAGGTCCGAGTTTAGCCATCGTTAGGACTAAACAATCAGGCGACGCGTCCTACCAGGCAGTTCTGGAGAAATATCCAGAGTTACAACAACCGAAACACACTCTTCCGTGCATAACCAGCAATGTTATGCATCACGTCACAACCACAGGTCCACCTGTGGCATCCAAAGCTCGCCGTTTAGCCCCCGATAAGCTGCAAACGGCGAAAAATGAATTCGACCATATGCTCGAACTGGGCATTATCAGACCGTCGAACAGTCCTTGGGCATCGCCATTGCACATGGTGCCCAAAAAGGATAGCAACGACTGGCGTCCGACCGGTGATTACCGAAGGCTTAACGCCAAAACAACTCCG